GCCGAAGAGGAAAGGACGAGGCTACAGAGGAAGGCATCATGAAGGACTGCTAAGCGATATTATGAAGGAGCAAGGAAGGTCGCTCTTGGTTTGCTGCTGATCGCAGCTGCTGTGTTCCTTGGTCTTCGTGTGGTCGATGAGAAGGGCGGTGCAGGTAAAGACAAACAGCCCAAGGAAGACTTGGCTGGGAGAGCGGCTCGTGTGTGGCCGCCCGTAATAACTATTAATAGATGGAGCCCCTTCGCAACGTCCAACAGCTGTAAAAGGTTGCCCGGCGAATTATGCTTCAAGTGCCGTTTATTTAAGAGTGATTGAACAGGCAATTAAAACCATCATTCCTCAGACAACCAAGTATTTAACACAAAGAGGCCACATCAGAGTTCTTCCTTGAAAAAGAACCTGCAAGCAGTTCTCAATCGTCTCGTCATGCTTCAAGGGAGCTCGAGAAGACCGCTTTTGATAGGTAGTTTAGGCAAATATAGGATTAGCGTGAAATGGTACCAATGACAATCTTTCTTGTTTTACCATATCTACTTGTGCAACTTGAGCCTCCAGATTTGTTTCAGCTAAGACGAGCTTTCAGAATCTGATGCGTATTCTTCGAGGTAATTTAGCCTCTAAGTAGGAATAAAGGCCCCTCTTTCTACTATAATAGTAAGAGCATACTGCATCTACCGGTACTTAGAGCTTAGAGACCATTAATATCAGAATCTGTTACCGTAGTATTATACTAGTAGGACTGTACTCAGTACCGGTACTTTACTGTTATGTCTGTTATTGCAAGAGGCGCGGCTAGGTGGGACTGGAAAGGCTTTCTTTTTGTTCCATTGGGGCCGCCAATGGGCCGTGGAGAGGTGGAGACTCCACGGTAGAGTACAGTCGTACTCAGTACTCAGTACACTGTGTGGGTAGCGTTTGTATGGTACAGGTTCTAGCCAGTACTCAGTATTCGTTTTATAGTTTTACGCGGAGGTTCCGTACGCCTTACCACAGGGGGTACGGAAGAGAGCACTACATGCAGCCTGTGCATATGAACAGGATTTTTAGAGAGCCAGCCTGCAGTCAAATTTTGGCCTGGCAGGCAACGCGAGACGTGATTCCTGTGCAATTGAACCAGCCACTCCATGACATGTGCACAATATTATTGCCGCAAATAGTCGGCTCGGACGGATAAACAAGGAATCGGAGCCACGACTGTACTAGTTACTTCATGGAAGGGGCCGTGGGCCTCTTGCCATCTTGGTCCATTCAAACATGCCGTACTAGCTAGCTAGTAGTGTGGAGTACCAGGGCCGAGAGTGGAAGTCGGAGAGAGCCCCTGAAACGCACGCGGTTGTATTATACGTATAACATTTTCACTATGTATTCTACCGATCATACGTATTACACATATAACATTTTTAATATGTATTAGACAAGTCATACGTACAACACAGATAACACAAGTGGAACAATATTATACGTATTACATGTATTATGTGTTGTACGTGTTTCACGTATAATACATAGTGACGAATTTTTGCTAAGTTTTTTTGCCAGGTGTTTTGCCAGGTGTTTGGGAGGCAGAGAGGAAGATGCACTGTTGCAGGCCATAATACCTGACAGCTTATCAAGTAAAATGGACTCTTACCTATCTGAACTCTCCATGTTGCTAGTACAATATCAATGATGAAGAATGGACTCCTGCTTCAATCATTGTGATTGTAGCAACCTCACTACTGAGATACACAAAGGAGATAAACATTATGAATACTCTGGGGTTCGATAATTATCGAATGGAGAAATCGACGGTGTATTGGCTACCTTCGATGTATCAATCTTGTGATTCGGCGCATATTAAAGAAGTTTTGATGCCATACTTTGTACTTTCTTGCAAGACTGCTGGATTCCGTATCAAAAACAAGGATTCGATAAGAGGCGGAATCACATTACCATATGTTGTCCAAGGAGTCGTTTTTACAAACAAAGGTCCCAAAAGGAGAGAAACAAAACCACCCAGACTCACTTCCTGTTGAGGGGGAGGGGTGTCAAATGTCCATTCTCTTTCAATGTTCTATATAGCCAGGAACACAGACGATGGTATCTACCCAAGTTCCAGACAGGCAACAAGCTTCATCGTGGCCATGTACAACTGGAAGAGGCACAAGTGAAAGTGTTAAGTACTCATCTTGGCACAGAAGCCGTTACACTAGCGGAACAATGCCTAAAGAACCATCTCTCGCCAAGTGTTGTTAAGACTTTACTTTATGAACGGACAGGCTCATCTCTAACTTCAAAACAAATCGAATCTCTAAGGAAGAGTCTGCATCAAGGAGTGGTCTTGTCTTTGGTGAAGCCAGACGGTACCATCTCTCAAGTATCACATCAGGAGGCGACAGCAGCAGATAGGCTACTTGCCAGATTGCAATCCGATCCAACAAAATCGTTCGTTGTTCTTTTTGCATCATTTGACTCCGGCCTTCTTCGAATCAGACAATCACATAGGGGAGCCACACCTCAGAACATTGATCCTGAAGCACTGACAGATGAATCCGACAGTGCTGAATCCTTTGCGAACAAAGTAAAGAGGCTCTATCCATTACAGTTCGGAATGATTTGCTTGCACTTGCCTGGACGAGTGAAAGTTCCCAGAGATTGTTCCAAATGTATCCGAGTTCAAGTCTGGTGATATACCTACAAAACAAACTCAGAAAAGAGGGAATTGCACATCGAGTCTGGCTAGCTGCCGATGGGCAGTCGTTCAGCCACACATGGGCATTGTTCCCATGTGCTTCAAAGTGGATATTCCAGTGGTTCTACCGAAATGCCATGCCCCGACTTCATTCGGCCAAAAGTCTGTCAAGAGTAGAAGTGGCTGCCTATGATGAAGATGAGAAGTGTTACATGATGTTCCAACAACAGACAGGTGTTGGCAAACCATTCCAAATGCTGTAGTTCAGCTTTGTAATTGGCACAAGCTGAACAGAAATCTTACCAAATCATCCATATTCAGATCCACCATAGCACAATTGACAGAGACTGACGATGTGATTGAGTGGAAGATGATCGTGTCTTGGCTATGGAAATTTTCCCGATATCAGACAAGAGAAGAAGCGGATTTGTCTCAGCAGTTGCTCATGCATTACCTTGACGAAGACGAGGATCTCCACAGGGGAAGATTGGGAACCCAAAGCCCTGAGACTTTCAACGTGTGTCCTGTGCTCATGATTGTTGGGGTCCAGTCCAAGATAAGTGTAGGTGCTGGCTTCGGCCATCTCAGCTTCTTCCCTTTCCCTCCGACGTCGTTGTGCTTCGACTTCTGCAGCTATCTCTTCAGCAACATTTTGTGCGATATTATCATATCGCCTTTCACAAATGTCCTTTCTCGCAGACCTTCCACCTCCCACCAATCCATCTTCGCCTGGAGCTCTAGCATGATTGTACATGCTTGGACCTTTCACAAATGTCCTTTCTCGCAGACCTTCCACCTCCCACCAATCCATCTTCGCCTGGAGCTCTAGCATGATTGTACATGCTTGGACCAAGCTTTCGGACTTTGAAGGAGTTAGCTTTTAAGGCATTACTCTGTGCAACACCGGGCTCAAAGCATTCGTGACAAAATGCCGACAGTCCAGGATGGTAGATAGGATGCTGGGTGATGGATCCATCTTCATTTCGGCGCTTCGCGGTCATCGGAATGGCTTGTTGAATACATGAAACAAAGTTCCGGGGAGTGATATCTTCAGGGAAGAAGGGACCAGGATTGTCAGGGCCAAAGGGAATCTCCTCCTCAGATTCCTCAGCCTTCGTCTCTTCTGCATCATTCTCATTTGCCCCGTGACCGTCTTGCGGACCAGATTCATCGTCAGAATCCACCATGATGCCTAAACGAAAATACTAAACAAGAAAACAAAAATAGGTGAGACAACGAACACGGGTAATACGTATAATACAGGTGATACGTATAACACGGGTGATATATATAATACATGTTACACATGTTACACGTATAACACGGGGGATACATATAATACACGTTACATGCATAACACGTGTTACATGCATAACACGTGTTACACGCGTAACATGCATAACACGTGTTGCGCGCTGACTGAGGTACTTACATGGGTTCAGTACTGGTCCCTACAGAAAGTGGTTGACAATGGTAGAATTCAAGGCCAGATCTTCCACAGGCTTTGTCAGTGAGCCTTCAGAAGTATATGAATGCAAAGAGAATGGTCCTGAAGGCTGTACAGGGCCTGAGGAAGAGAGTGGAGGCAGAAAAATGGAGAATGAGTTGAATGAAGAGAAATCATTCTATCTTTCCACAGGAACAGTCTTCTTGGCTTCAACAAAGCCATACCACATTGCCTACTTACCCACAATGATGGTGCTATCTTCAAATAACAAGAGAAACCTTCGTATCCTTCAAACAAACAAGAGAAGAGAGGTTGTTGTCATGGTGGATGGTGGTTCTTTGTGGTGGAGATAGTCAAGTCATTTTGCGAAACTCGAACGGTCACGGTGGCTGGCTGGCGTGCGTGTTATACGTGTTATACATGTTATACGTATTCTACACGTAAGATGTGTTAGACCTGTTATACGAGCGATACAAGTTATACGAGTGATACGAGTGATACGAGTATAGCGTGCGTTTCAGGGTCTCTCCTCGGGCAGACAACTTGTAGCGTACTAGCTAGACTTCAACCCAAAAAAAGTCCGACGACTCAACGAGAGCTCTACTACCCAAAACTAAGTGGCGAATATCGGTACTGGAACGACGACATGCATAGTATACAACCCAAGACTGGTTCGTACTGCGGACTGTTTTTGTTGGCGTTGTCGTTATAGTTTATTTACAGCTAATGTTATGCAAGGAACGCGAAGATTTGGTGCTTTCAATTGTGCAGCATGCTTCCCTACCGGTACTGGAGCGTTTCGTATGTACATTACGTATAGAGAAGATATGCATGTGCCTGGCTCACTGGCAGTCAAAGCATGTCTCGCTCCATAATCGTTGCTCATGAATGCCACTCGATGGAATCAGTATTGCTTTTTCGTCTCACTGCTTGCCAGGTCCATTTGGCAGCACGACGCAACTTGTCTCGCTTTCGTTCTCTGGAAGGTGGAAGGATCAGAGGGGCGCTTGGAATACCGCGAAAGGGAGCCGCCGTAACATCGTAGTCTAGAAAGTAATCATCCTGGTACACTTTTCGCCGAGCCAATCCGCAGGTTTCTTCGTACCATTTGCTCTTCCTCTTCTTGCTCCCTGGTGTTGGCAGGGCCAATGCCATGGATAGTTCCGTGGTGGAGGCAGTCGCACAATCTGGACGATGCAATGGAGTGAATCCAACAACGCCCTGGATCAACAGGGCCATGATGGCCATGATCCATAGCAGATTCCTTCGTAGCGGTTGTCTCATGGTTGCTCAGACGAAATTTCTATGTGAACTTGACCAGTTGAAAGGAGATAAAGAATGTGGAGTTGATGGAGTGACTGTTTGCTTCGCTGCAACTGACAGTGGTCGTTCCGTGTACCGATTGACGATGATGATGATGGATGATGATGGCTCCAATGCATCCATCAAACTGTTTCAACGAATGACACATCGCGGGTTGGTTCCGAATCAAGATCAGCAAAGAAGTGAATTCGTCTGTCCTACATACAACAATAATGACAAGTTTGTATGGAGCGCAACCTTCAACCTTGGACGCTCATTTTGTCTTCTTGCAGCTGTTGCAGTTTTTTTGCTACAGTACATGTACGTCTCATTCTCACTCCTTTTGGAACCAAGGACCCACCAAAAAAGATAAGACTGATCTGATGCTGAGTCAGTCAGTCAAGTTTAGGGTAAAGGCTTTTGTTTCAAGCGTCATGATGACGCTTCGAACTTCAATCACGAATTTCTATCCGTGACCAGATCGATGCAAACAACAAACCACACAACCACACAACACTCTCTCATCAGCAACGACCATGACCAACAGCGCCGCAATATCTCTCTTCCGCTCCCTCGCTCGCGAGGCCAAGCACCTCAATGACTACAACTTTCGATCCTACGCTGTACGAAGAGTCAAAGTTGGCTTTCAAAAGAGCCGCGAGTTGCAAGGGTACGTATTTGGATCTTCGAGATCTTTCGCGTTCGACATCTTTCTCACTCTTACTTTCTTCGCGTTGTCTTTTGGAAAGGGAGGAAGCGGCAGCAGCAATGAAATATGGTCAAGAGCAACTGAAAATTCTAAAGCGGCAAGTGATTCTCGGAGACCTTTATCCCAGTGGGCGCAGTGTGATGGAATCTGCCTAGCCAGTAGGATTGACAGTAAAAATAGAAGACCAAAGAAACCCTATTTATTCCCAGGTTAGAACGATTTTTGCGCCATCGTGCTTTAGACGATTCATTTGCATACATTAGCACAACCTGGTTTCTGAAATAGTAGGTGGCGTCCTTTGCCCAAACATTTCCTACAGTCTGCCTGAGCTAGCAAGATAGCCCAATACGACCAAACTTCCATTCTTCAGCATTCCATGTGGACTCAATAATTGCTCACCAATGCAAAGTTGGCACACTCCGAAGATGAACAGCATATACTGAAACCAGGTCCAAGGATACAATGGAAACAATCTTCACTAACGGCTAGCTAAAAAAAGCTACCAGATATGTGTATGCTCCTGACAAACATTCTCTCAGGGAAAGCAAGAACCAGACAATGCCATCAAATACATCATTTCAGAACTGACTTGTGGTTGGTTCAGGGTCGGGAATACGCTCATAAGTTCCACGCTGGCGCTGCCTGGACCACCAGAATCCAGCGACGGCTGCACATGACACTGCTAGAATCATCACCACCAGAAACCACCATCCCGACTGCATGGTGAAGGAGGTTGTGATCAGAGGCTGAAACGAATTGCACAGCATAGATTCCTTTTTGGTGGAAAGAACCGTATTACTTGCCATGGAATAGTAGGACGGCATCTTTTCGAAATCGTATAGTTCCAGTTTGCACGTTTTGGCAAGTGCCTCTTCGACTTGGGCACACGTTGGTTGCGTGTGGGGATTCTGGGCGAGGCTCTGGTAATAGCTTTCCATAATGCCTCCATTTTGCATCGGCAAGTCGTGGAGACTGCCCGGAACCACAGAGCCCACCAAGGCTGATTGTTGCTCTTTTTGTTGCGTCCCAATGGCACATTGCTGTTGAAAATTTTCAAAGTCTCGAGTTGGTATTAGCACATCTCGTCCATTCCACGGTCCTCCACTCATCATGTTGAAGAGCGAGTTACCCCAGTACGCAAAGGAACAAAAACCCGACCAGGTATCGGCCATTTCCTGCAACACGACGGGCACTTCGGTCCAATCTCTGGTTCCTCCTCCTGGGAATTCGGGACTATCCCGATTGAAACGACTGTGACTGCATCCCAATTCGGAAAAGACCAAGGGAGCATGGACGCTGGTGTGCAATCCCTGCCACATTTGAAACATGATGCCGGGTGTCCCATCCATGTTGGTTTCAAAGGTATTGTAGGAACTGCACCACGACTCCAAATTGACACCCAAAATGTCGACACTGGCATCGTCTTTTGCATTATTATGATGACGGCACGACAAATAATCGACCGTCAGTCGAATGGTATCCACATTGGACAAGGCAGCTCCAATGCCGGAATCTTGTGCAGCGTACATGAGTGGAATGAGAGCACCACGTTGTTTGTATTTGTGATCAGTCAATAATTGGGATTTCATGTACTGTTTGAGATCGCGGGCATACGCTTTGATACACGGTGCGGCACGCCAGGATTCGATTGAATTCATGACTTCGTTGCCAATGATACCGGCAATCACATTGGGATGATCGAGTGCGAAATGTAGCATCCTCGTCCCGTACCCCCACAGCGCTTTCGTGTAACAGTGCGGTGCCGGTAGGGCGCGATTCAAAATGGCATTGCCAAAGGTGGCCGTCAGTGGCACCAGAATGTAAAAGCCCAAATCGGCGGCGGCGTGGAAGAATTCGGAATAATCGACCAGGGAAGGATCGTCGAGTTGATACAATCGAATAGTGTTGAGTTCGTCAGACGAATCGCGGAGCTGCTGCAAGATGGAAATCCATCCCGTGGCATTGTATTGAATGTGCTGCCCATTTTCTTCCGTGATGAGCCGTGTGGGAGGAGCATCGGGAAAGGCAATTCCTCGCACAAAAAAGCGATCCTTGTTGTCTCCTCGGACCAAATAACGACCTTCCACCCGAATCACATCCTCGGCATCCAGTGACATGGTTTGTTCTATGAATGTACTGGTATGCATAAAAATGGCTGACAACCAACAACACAAAAGTATGAGCAATAGCGAGGCTGACCAGACCAGGGTAATAATGTGGCCTTCCTGACAATAATGAGTGCAGGTGATGATTGTTGCCTTGCACGACACTGGCAGACACTGTCCGAAATCCTTGCATCACATCGTGACATCTGTTGAGACGTTGCGTTGACCACGAGTCCAACGGAACTCATGACTGGTGGAAGAAAGGCTTTTTTAAACAGCTGACCGCCACGTCATACCGGTACATCCACAAGGTACCGGTACTATTAATAGCTAGTATGCATGCCGGTAATAACATCGATCAGCATCATCACCATCAAGCAGCGGTTTAAATAGGCTAGCTAGCTAGTATAGTTATAGTGCTGGTATCATCAGGAAAGGCAAGAAGGAAAAAGATGAGCGATTACGGGAGCAGTGATGATGAGGAGAAGACCTTTCTGAAGGTCTTGAATCCATCTGGAGTTCACGCTGGAAGCAAGGAGCCGCAAAACGAGAAAGCGAAGGACGAAACCACGTCCTGTCAGATCGCCAATCATACAAAATTGGCTGACAGCAGCCACAATCTTGGGATGAATGATGCAGAAACAAAGACTGGCAAAAATCCCAGTGGCAGCAAAGGGTTCGCTGATTGGGAGCAAAATGAAGAAGCCAGAGCTACTCCCGTGGCCAACGTGCCAACAGTTGCGAGACGCGAGGTGTCCACTGCATCCAACATGAGTGGTGGCAGCATCCCTCCACCTCCACAGCCATATCTACAACGATCCATACCCATTCAGCCTGTCATTGGGTTGGATTGGGACAATCCCGAGTTTGCCCCAGGAGCCGTTCGCGTTTTTGGACCCAACTATACGCATTCCACCACTTCCTCTCTTCCAGGAGAATCCTCCGAAAGCAGCAGCAGCTGTAGCAGTCATCCAAGTAATACGACCGCTGGAGAGGACGTGGCAACCCCTGTGGTAACTACAGCTGTTCGCGTCCAAGATCCCGACATTACCCGACGAGAAATCGAAGCAGAAATTCGACAATCCATTATGAACGAGGTCGTACTAGCTGATGCCGTGGTCATTCCAGTTTCGGATAGCAATGATCAGGAGGGTGGAATCCAATCTGATGACGCCAATCATCTACGAGTAGGGAAACGAAAGAGATTGTGCCTATACTTGATTCTTGCTCTCGTGCTGCTGGCAGTTGTGGCGGTAGTGGCGGGAATAGCATTACCTCGGGCCTCTACAAACTCAACTTCTACGGGAGCGGGTACCAGTGAATCATCACTTGTCAACAACGCTACGACCAAGTCAACCCTCGAAATTGTTCGAGAGCGGGGTTATGTCAAATGTGGGGTTTCCGATGGATTTGTCGGCTTTGCCAGTACCGCACGAACTGGGAAACTGGAAGGCATCAGTGTTGACCAATGCCGCGCAATCGCCATTGTCGTCTTTGGAAATCCAAATCAGGTGGAACTGATCGATATCACAATATTCGAGCGGGGTCAAAAGCTATATGAAAGAACCGTGGATGTCGTGGGGCAATATGTCCTCAAGAGAATGAAACCAGATGTGCACGACCCCGCCTTTGGGAGAGGGTTGACTTTCTCGGCGCCCTTCTTTTACAGTGGCTTTGGCTTTGTGGGGGAGCCTTCCCTTGTGGATTGTGCCGATAGGCTGGACAGTTTTTCAGAGGAATGTCGGCCACTTCGTCTTTGTGTCACTGTGAACACTGTCAATGAAGATACACTGCAGGAAGTCTTGCCAGGGGCAGTTGTAGTGCCATGTGATCTTCCAATTGACTTGACCCACAAGTTTATAAGGGGAGACTGTAATGTCCTGGCAACTCAACCTGCCGGAGCAGCAGAGGAACGTTTCCGGCTAGCAGGCTATGATCGGGAATTCAAGGTTGGGGAGAACCTGTTTTCAATGGAGGCCATGGGTATGGTCACTATTGATGATGATCCTGAATGGGCACGGGTTGTGAATTTGGTCATACTTACATTTTTCATTGCAGAGGCACACAGCATTACTCAAGCCAACGCAGAAGATATGCGGTCTCTGTTCCACGTTGAGGACCAAAACAATCCCATGGCCTATTCCATGGTGACCATTGTCAATCAGTTTGGTAACTATGCCGAGCTGTATGAGAGACACTTGGAGTCAGTGGCCCCAAGAAGAGGTCCCAATATCCTTTACTCCCAATCAGATACCTCCGGGCGACTCTATTCAGTACCCTTTCGCAACTTGGATGTGGTTGGACCGGGGCCCATCCCCAATCGCACCCTTGATACTATTATCAAAAGGGGTCACCTAAGATGCGGAGTGCGTGCACACAAAGGGTTTGCCAATGTTCCTGCAGATGCAGAGGACAAATGGTCTGGGTTGGATGTTGAATTCTGCAGGGCTCTGGGAGCAGCAATATTTGCAGGAACCTTGTCATCAGTAGAGTTTGTGGATCTGGCAGCCATGGAAGCAAACAGCAACAGAGTTGATTTTGGACACGGCAATACACTGCTCGCTGACAGTTTCGTGGATGTTATTGCAGGAAGTCGAGTTTCAATCAAGCTTATGTTAGGCAGTGAAGCTGCTCCAGGTTTTTGCTTTGGACAAACTTACTTTGTGAATGCTGGAACTATGAGTGAGTATGCTTTGATGACAAGAGATGATGATAGTCAGTGGGTAGCATTTGTTTATTGGGTAACAATGGCCATCATCTATGCTGAGGAAAAGTCCATTGGTCAGATGGATTTTGTACAAATGCCCATCACACGGCTGTTTGGTGAGGAACTCAAGCAGTGCTTTCGAGACTCTGTAGCTGCAGTGGGCAACTACGGAGAAATCTACAATCGGACGTTGCAATCTATTTTGCCACGTTCTGGTCCAAACATGTTGAATGAACAAATCAATGGCTCCGGCCTGGGTCCACAACATGTTGCTGTTCCGTTGTACTGATTGCTTCGGCGTGTCCGTCTAATAGATTACCGTAAGAACACGTCCCTTTCGAGGATCCAGCAAAGGTTCCAATCTGCTCTGATGTCTGAAAGCTGATTGAACGTGAGATTGGAACCTTCATCAAGTTTGGGGTGCATAGCCAGAGTGTTGAAATGGTTGAGTGTCTTGCCCCAGCATGCTCCACCCTTGATTTCAACAACAAAGTATGGGGCACACCAGCTTTTGCCTTTGTCGTCAAAACACTTGGGTTTGAAATGGAACGGCGTCGCTAACTTCCAAGAGATTTTAAAGCGCTGCATTGCGGAGAATTTGGCTGTTCCACCACGCGACGAGTGATCATTTCCCTCCGGTGCTTCTTTGCTTTCCTATTTACTAGACTTCTGATTTGTCTGATTTGTCTTTTCTTTTTCTCCGTTTTGAGCTTTCGTGCCTCGAGGCGAGACAAGTCGAGACGTGCGACAGTGGGACTCCAACTGTGACTGAGTTTGCTGTTCAAAAGTGAGTGACTGAGTTTGGCGAAGCCTACCAGCATGTTGTGGTACGATGTAGCCTCCCCAAAGCCACCCCAAATCCAGCGCTGGGCTGCCTTCGCCCTTCCCTCCGCCATGGCCTCGGTTTGTTCAGGCTTCGTTTCAAGTTCCAGTTGTGAAAGAGCAATCCCATCGAGGGATTGGTTCTACGTCACCGCATCTAGCTAGCTACTACGGTACTAGCTCGTCGGAGAGCTGTCGGAGCAAGGCCGTCTTGGTGGATGCTCTGGACGGCTGTTAGGGTTTTGGGCTTGCTCGAGATGACAAGAAGCACCAAGATGCCAGTGCCCCTTCGCTTGAAGTGACCTGGGTCCGTCGTAAAGTGTGGGTTATTGTGGGGAAGAGCCATCAGCCAACTCCTAACAAACGGGCGGAGTGGTACATGATATTTATTTTAACTATGTATCGCCCTATTGATTTTACATACATGAGCGAAGCCCAAGATTTCTAATGCTGTTGTTATTGGCAGCGCGTGGTTGGTCTTCTTTCAACGGAGCAAGAGGCAAACATTGAGACTCAACTTCTCGAAAAAAGTTGGACGTGACCCTCGAAATCGCCACTCACAAAACGCTGAAGCTGGAGCTAACGCCTCGAAACGCCGGCCGCCGGCCCAGGAGTCCGGTTCCAAGATCCCTCGTGGGATCGTCAAATAGACTGGCACCATCGCCATCATTTGTATCCAAGATTGCAAGATCCACCGTGACAACGAAATCAGTATCTTTTCCCAACTTGGAAGTGGGCCACAGACTGTTCTCACAATTTTGAGTTCGTCAGAGAGCAAATTCATTGGAAAGCATCCGACCCCAAGACAAGATGTGCAAGGTTGACAACAACTCTCCAACTGTGATTGCTCCTGGCGTCGGCCAGCCTCGGCTCTACACTGGCGGATTCGTCAAGGAGACCCAGGACGAGATGACTGGTGTTACGCTTGGGCAGCAACGATGCGGGAAGATTGTCATTACCAAAATCCACCCCGACAGCTTGGCCTTTCGAGCCAACACGTCGCTCAAGCCAGGAATGCAGGTTGTGAGCGTCAACACAACCCCGGTGACACCCCAGATGAACTGTCAAGATGCAGCCAACTTGTTGAAGGCTGCTGTGGGCGATGTCACCATCACCGCTGTCACACCCACCAAGAACGCGACGACTGTAAGCTTTGTCAAGAGCACACCGGACATGCCGTCTGGACTGGTCTTTGGACGTGCTTGCAAGAGCAACAAAGTCGTCATCAGCCGTGTCCTCCCAGGAAGTGTGGTCGCTCAACAGGCCCCTCAGCTAAAAAAGGGCATGCAAGTGAAGAGCATCAACAACACTCTTGTTCACAGTGGAATGTCAGTCGAAGAAGTTGCCAACCTTGTGAAGCAGGCGTCTGGAGTTGTGACCATTACAGCCTAATAAGTAATGTCGTCCGCCGTTCTCGAAGCTACAAGCAATTGTTTTCCACCGTATCGGCAGCATTGGAAGTGACACCGGTTGTGCTGTCTTTCCTTTTTATGTCTGCCTTGGGCATGTTCCACATTTATTTGTTGCATCTTTTAAACTGGATGGCGGCTGCTTTTGTACCAATAGAGTGGCACGCAATGTTGATACCAGTGAGCCTTCTGAGCTCTGCAGTTTAGTAGTCAGGGTTGATAGATTTGAATAAAGAATAATATGTGGTTATCAAAACATGCTACGTTTTAGCTCGTTTTCAAATAAATCTAGCTACCTTGCTTGCTACCGTGCTGCCGTGGCTGATCTAGCATGCCGGCTGCTAACTAGCTCGAGCACACATGCTTTGGAAAGGAAGTTGAAAGTCAACAGAGCACACAGTTTGCTGGTGGACAAGGGAAAAGGAGTGGTCTCGTGTGAGAGGGCCATCAGAGTTGCCGGGAATGGGCTTTCCCTGCAATCCTTTGGGTAAAACTGCTAGTTTGGGTTATCTTATACTTTGAGTCATGCTTCCATATTGTGTCATTCTTCCAGCTTTGTCATTTTTCTAGATTTGTCCACATGGTACTATTTCCTTCGCGTTTTTACGTAGAGCCTTCCAGATTGTGTCATTCTATCTTGTGTCATTCTTCCGGATTGTGTCATTCTTCCAGATTTGTCATTTGTTTTCTATTTTCAGTCATTCTTCCAAAAGAAAACATGAAGAATCTGGCAAACCTGAAACAACTACCAGGTATTCCCGCAACTCGGCGCGGGAGTGACGTCCAAAACAAAAACGTTACTAGTAAAAGCTCTCACCCTAAAAAGCGAGAAAACCCTATAGCCTAAAAAGCGGAAGCAAGTCTGAGTCAGAGACAATGACACTCCAGAATGAATCATCGATCATGTTGAGGTCCAACAGCAAAAGACGATTTCTGACAATGCAACAACTGTCATTGATGAAAACAAAGCAACGAAGTAAATCGATCTCTCCAACAAAACAGTAGCAACACCAGAATTATCAGCAAAGACAAGCTAGCAAGAACCATGGGCTGGGAAGCAAAAGTGGAAGAGCTTGGTCAAAAGCTTCGCAAGGAGATTGTGGACAACAACGAAGAGCCTGACATTGAAAGAAGCAACGATCTGCTGGAGGCACTAACGAAACATCAAGGAACCATGTCCATTGCCGTCCTCCAAAAGACTCGCCTGGGGAATACCATGACCAAGTGCATCCGAACTCTCAAGAGACACAAGAGGACCTCCACCAACACAAAGGAATTGGAGACTCTCATTAAAACGGGAGAGTCGCTTTTGGATCAGTGGAAACAGGCTGTCGACAAGGATGCCAAGCAAAAGCAACACAATCATCATCAAAAGGAGGAGAGTGAAGATGCTGTGAACGAAAAGGGATTGCCAACCACGGTAAAGGCATACCAAACCAGGTTGACCAAGCAGCGCAAGGACTTATTCAAGAATCCACCCGTACTTCCACCCAACCATGTGACCATTGAAGAGGAGTGGTATCCACTGCCCAAACGAAACAAAAAGACGGGCGAACTAACATTTGTCTGTGGAGCTGATGACAAAATTCAAAACTTACTGAAAGACTTTCATCCCAATCGGACCCCGGAAGAAATCATGCGAGCTGGATCCTTTGGAGGGACTTACTATAGACCCATTGCGTCGGCCGTGACCAATGTGAGCTACACGGCAAGTGGGGTCTTGAAGGAATCGGTGGATCCAAAATGGATTCAAGGTTTGGACATTCGCACCATGTTAACCTCTTCGACCTACCGAAATTCGGTCAACAAGTACGGTGTCAAGTGCGGCGGGTCGCTGGGCATGTGGGAGAGCTCTGGCTGGATTGCCGACTGTGATCCGTATGGTTGGTTCCAATGGTACTGTCGCTTTTATCAAGGTCGGCGGTGCTCGGATGATGCCCGGCAAATCCAGCGCTGGGCCAAGAGTGCTGGACCCAAGGGCCGCTTCCGTTCGCAACTCTGCAACAAAATCTTGGCCGCCAAGACAACCGCGGACGATGTATCCATTAGTCCCGTCATTCGACAGACATTGCTGCATTGGGGGTTGGAGATTACGGAAGAGGTCCTTGCCAAGCACAAGAAACGTGTGGGAAGGTGATTTCGTAGTTACATAGTGAGAGCTTTGGTTTTTGGAGTTGGTTGTTCTTGTGGCTCGGGGATAGTGCTAGATTTCAATCCACGCAAAATTAGACCATGCTGTGCTGTCCACCGTAGCTTTTGGTTTGGATTTCTCTGGTGTGCCAAGAAGTTGTGCTTTGGTTGTTTTTTGTTTTTTTGTTAATCTCCACGGGTGCTGTGAGGGTCAGGGAACGCGGGATGCTGTAGCTGCAACCCCCCTTAGCCACCCAGCACCTAGGAATTGCTAGGTTAGAATAAGTTACTACTACACTGCTCTATAGCTCCTCTCCTTAGTTGACAGAGAAGCTTGTAGTGCCCTCCCAGTCGGTGCTGGGAGCCAAGGATGAAAAACAAAGACAGGTGTGAGTTGAGACGGGCAAATGAAATGGGGCTCAGGGAAGCTACCTAATGGGCAGTTGTCCTTCAAGAAGGGACAGACTTATCCGTTGGTGGTACTGGGTCATGTCCTCTTGAGAAAATGTTGGAGTGTCCTTCCGCAGGAGGGTGTCAATGAAAGCACAGGTGAAGACGCCGAAGTCGTTGCCGTTGAGTTGCGTGGGAGTTGCAGGGGTGGATTCACAAAGGGACCGGTCTCGAACAGGGAGGGGGCGATGGTGCACTCGTTGGTGTTCATCGGAGAGATATCAAAGGGTGGCTGTGAGAAACTGGGTGTTGGTGGCTCCTGCAGAATCGAATGCTTGAATTTGTTGTTCTCGCATGAAGGCTACAATCGCAATCCAGTGGCTCCGGTTGACACTGGCTGGGAGGAAGAGTTTGTCAAGTGCAAAGATGTCTTGACCTGGAACTCGTTGGGACCAGTTTTGAATATTGGAGTAGTTGTAGCTGCCCCAAAGGGCTGGATCGATGGCTCCCACGTTCAGCAGGTTTTGTCATGAAAAAGGATTGGAAGGTGAAGCTGGGTCGTTGGGTGTTAATGGGGGAGGCTTGGAAAGTGTCCCGCGCAATGAGGAGTCGAAGGAATCCATGGATAGCTTCGTCTGAAAGCCACACACCGTGTCGGAGTGAATGCATGGCCCGCGGACTGATACTGTGGGGGGCAGCGGCAAGTTCAAGTGAAGCCCACGCCTCCCAGACGCGTTCTAACTACCGTACAACACAAGACAATAGATTACTTCCTAATTGCATCGCTGGTTTATAACATTAGTTACGGCATCTATCATTGAGAATGCGAGTGGCTACATGGATATTTTTCTCATGGCACTGTTTGAACAAGGAGCAATCGCTACTTTGGCTCGGGGGCCCAGTGGCAGGCAGTCAGCGATTGGCTGTGACCATTCAGCAAGCGCTTGGGAGGTGTCGCGAGGTTTGCTCTCTGTCTTGCCAACTTCATTCGGAAGGCAGGAAGGATTGCTGGTGGAGGGATGAATGATGCCTGGGAAAACAGCCTTGGTGGAGACTGGCAAGGGCTGCCTTTGGAACCAGGAAGCTGCCTCGTGGCTGGGTCGTTGGAGGAAGGAACTGGAAGAAGTACCATCGTTTCCACGGGCGCTGATGGAGCCCTTGCAATAGGGCTTGACTGTCGCCATTTGATGGTTGGTTGGTCCCGGAGGAAGATCAGTGGATGATGTGGAGACTCATGGAAGACCAGAAGACACATTGGTACATGTATTGTCAAAACTGCGAGATCGTCGAGGGGGGGATCCCCGTTGGATGCTGCGCAAACCGTTGCTGGCCACAACGCGTCGAGTTGGTTGATGTTGTTGCTGTTCTCGTTGTTGCTATACTATTTGACGCTTCAAAGTGCGTTCCTTGGGAGGAGCCAGGTTGTTGAGGAACTGACATACCACGGCCCATCCAATCCATGCGGCGACATACGCGGCCAGGAGTTGTAGTAGTAGCAGCCAAACGGTATCCGCGTCATCACTGGTCTGCAATACGGCCAAGGATGCCGACGCTTTCATGACAATTTGTCCCATAATGACTCCATTGCCAAAGAGTTGACGGACCAATCGTTTGCGCTCTTGGGCCCATTCCAGAAATTGGTTGTGAGCAATCTGGCGCTGCTTCTTGCGCTTTTTGCTGTTGCGGCACAAGGCGGTAAAGAGGACCCAGGTTTCCCAGATCTCCAATAGGAGGCACGTAAACAAGAGGCAATACAGAATCCCTCCCAGAGTGCTCAGACTGTCGGGAAACAAGAGATTGGCCGCCCAAGAGAGCAGGCCACCGGCAAGGCCCGAAAGGATACCCACGGCAAGTTCTTCTACGATAGATGTGTGGCAGGTCTTGCCGCTTGAGGGCTCTCTATTACACTGTGTGCCGGTATGGATGGATCGCTTGCCATGGCAAAACACAGGGAGCCGTAGATGATCTTGCGATTGGAGGCTCATTTTGTTGTTGCTTGAGTTTGTTTGTTAGCTAGTTAGTTTCTCTCGAAAATGAATTGATTGTGGGAGCTCATGCCATTCTGTTTAGCTGGAACCTTCGGTACGGAGCAAAGGGTCTTGGCGTCTTGATGGACTACGGTACAGTGTACAGCTAGTGTACACTGTACTGCCCTCAATCAGAGAGGCAGGTACCGAAGATTCTGAGCCGTGATATAACAGCTGTTTGAGTAGACTAATGGTACCGGTACTATCATTATTATAGTGTTTGGTTTATACCAGTAAAAGAGACATTCTCCGTGGCTTCTTGCTTTTTAGCTTAAAAGCTTCACTCATTTCATAAGATATTTACGAATTAGAAATCGGGACTATGCCTCATTGCGTAGAGGTTAAAATGCATGTCTACATGTCTACAGAGGCATTGTGATTGGAAAATGTCTCAACACACTTGCCTTTGTATGTCACTGTGCAGCCCTCATATTTAACTGTCATTTGCAAACTACTTTAGTGTATTACTACGGATTCGGATTGAACTGTCCTTTCCCTTGGTTTGAAGCTGATTTCCCACCCAGGGAAGCAGATTTCCAACCCTCTGAAGGGAATTTTCCTTGAGATTTACTTAAGGGACAGTGCTACTCGGACCGTTTCTTGAGACAATCTCAAGGATGGACTGGCGCACCGATTAATCCTCACGTAAAATCGTATGACGTAGAAACGTACACATCCTATGTACCGGGAAGGAAAATCTCCTTCCGAGGTTGGGAAATCCGCTTCCGATGCCGAGCATGGGAAAGGACAGTTCAACCCGAATCCGTAGTAAGTTCGCACACAGTTAAAATAATTATTTACAGTATCTCAAATTCAAAGTGTGAAATGACTGTCACTCATAGTAGTCTGAGCCGCCGAGCTTGAATCGCCAATGACCATGGTTAACGCAAACCGGTATCGAAAGAGGCTATTGCCTTAGGTCGGTACTATTAATACTGGTACCGGTACTCAGTACTCGAGTAGAACCATACCTATTATTATGGTAAAGTAGCTGGTACAGTACAGCTGTAAAAATGTCTGTTCGTAATCGAATTTGTACTGAGTAGCTTTTGGTTAATAGATACTGGAGTACTAGTAGTACTGTATGATATTAATAGTACAGAGTTGCGGACGGTACAAGTATCTTAACGCGTTAAGGCTTGCACGTGCATGTTTGTAATCGGAATAACGGAATAGCGGAATAGTTACTGTACGCTCATGCTACAGGGTGTACAAGAATTAGATTCAAATGACTTTGTCAGAGTAAAAACGATATCAGGACTTAAACGTAGACCCCCCAACCCCTATATTGGGAGAATCGTCTTTAAATAATCTACCTCAGCACGTTCTCCGATTTTTGATATTCAGTCTGGGTGAAGATTTATGGCCTTTTGAAATGGTAGCTTTCAACTATAGTAAAATATAGTACATTTACTTATGTGACACAACTTGAACCCCTAAATAACTGTGTACTCCTCGCCAAAACAGTCCTTCTTACGACGTTTGTTAATGCTTTTAACTAAAGAATGGTGTAAAAAGAACACTTGCATCTTGTTCTCCATACTCGAAAACTTAGGGCAGCGTTCACTCAGCTTGTTATCGGCCGACTCCGGTATGACCTTTGATAGCCAAATACTGCACACCCTGTAGCTAGCTACGCAGCATGGCAGCCTGCGGTGGGAGCCCTGTAGGGTGCGGAAATGGGACTGATTAGCCGTTAGTTTCACGCATGGGTGAAACTAGGTTTTTCCGAGGTTGATTGTTTCACGCAGTGTTTAGCAGTTCCGCAGTTTCACGCGACGTGAAACTAGTACTTAGTTTCACGCAGACCTGAGGACGTGCAAGTTTGAAGACTGGTTTCACGCAAAAAACGGCTTGATCTCTCTCTTTTC